CCTGTCCTTCACCTACCCAACTGTGCCGCAAACCCAGCTGATCGGACCCCTCTATCCCTAATCCGAGCAGTGAAGAAGCATCTCGTGCATCATGGTCTATACAATGAACAGAATCATCAAGCCTCTAAATTAAAAAGCATCTTCCACCAGATGTATTTGTATGCAAGGAGGATCTAAATCTCCATCTCAGGATCTAATCTCCATCTCAGGATCTCTAGATCTCTCTCGGGATCTTTTCCAAGACTCTCAAGCTCCCCTGTTCTACCAGCTTTACTATCGAGGATCTCCCAGCAGCAATTTGCTCTCTTTTCTGCTACAACCAGCCGAACAACAATGGACCGCTGTTTGAGTAACTCCATCTCAGGATCTCTAGATCTCTCTCGGGATCTTTTCCAAGACTCTCAAGCTCCCCTGTTCTACCAGCTTTACTATCGAGGCATTACAGCAGCGAATTGTTCTTCTTGTACAACCAGTTGAGCGACAATGGACCGCGGTGTTTGATGAACCGCAAAGAAGATGCAGCTAATTTTATTCCTTCTTTCTTTTTTCTCTAAATCCCCTCGCTACAACAGCCAAATAAAAGAAACAATACCAATACGGGCTTACAGTTTAAGGCTCGACATTGTGTTGTCTACGATTAGACAGCTGATAACTCATTCCCGTACGTCGTATGGTCGTAACACTATAATGACCTTTGCTTATTGTCACAAGTTCGCCGCATTCGCGATTGTTGCCCGACGCCTGTTTGCAGGTGAGCCCACTAGAGTTGTTATACATATCTAAAAACCGAAAAACTTTTAGGCGAAAAAGGCACTATTCCAGGCCCATTTTTGATTTTTTTTTGCGATATTAGGTAAAAACAGAAGCTTCTTATCTTAGGAAAAATAAAATGGGAAATCTTTCAAAGGTGGCACACTACCTTTAAGGTGTATCAAGTACTGTGTTTGCGCAGCAGATGTGACGGCGCAGGTCGATAGCCATGCATGGGAGGTTCAATAGACGATAAACGGGGATTTTGCGGTATTACAATAGAACTGAAAGGGTTCTACAACCGATATTCGGAACACAGGGTGGTTTCCCTATAAACCTCAGGGACTTCTTCACAGACCCTTTGGGGTTCTTATCTAGGTGCTAAGAACGCTCTTATTATAAACCCTAAACCTCATAAGAGTCTTTGGAAGAATCGTGTGGATTCTTTTGATGAGAATGCAAAGCCGTCTACGTGAAGAACCATGGGGGTTCTAAAAAACGGTGGCATAACATTTTACCCCACAGGGGTCTAAATACCCCTGTACGTTCTTAATGTTCTTCCAAAGTGCTTTCAGTGTTCAACTGAAAGTACTTTGATATTTTCTTTTTGGTTTTCACTATATTTATTTTTGAAAACTGAACAAAATACCGACATATTTTTTTAATTATAATTTCCAAAGAATCAAATGAAAAAAATACCTATTATTTTGCATTTTAATGTTTCTTTTTGGAAAGAAATAGTTCCTGTAATACGTATCTTGGTCCTATTCGCTTCTAAGGCTCTTTCCCTGCGGATTTTGTTCGGACCGCCGATTTGTATTAGCAGGTGGATACATGAGTCGGTAGTACGCTCCTGATTCGCATTAGCGGTGAATCCGATCGTGATACGTATTTGCTTTGCTCATGTAACCGCGGATCGGATCGCCGATTCGTACTAGCAGGTGGCTACATGAGTCGGTAATGCGTTCCTAATTCGAATTAGCGGCTAAATACGTAGGGGAGAGCGGGGCCAGTTGAACCACTTTTTATATATTGACATGCACAGCGAGATCTAGTTGTCATATCGAAAAGTGCACAATGCCATGAAAAAATATGCTCTTTTGGCTTTATTTTAAGATATGTAAAATTATGTTTCAAACATATTTTGCTGCCAAACGCATGCTTATAAAACAGCTCTACGCCCGTTTCAATTGACCCCGATGCGAGGGTCAATTGAACCAGCCCATGGGGTCAATTGCACCTATCCTTAACAATGGGATGGTTTCCTCTTTAACCCGCGAGTTGCTGGGGGGGGGGGGGCGTTAAACGCCCCCACTTTTTTCGCCGGGCCATAGCATAAAAACGGCGCGCCGCAGGCGCGCCAAATTTTGGGTACCTGTAGGGAATTGACTGAAGTTTATTGTGACAAAGTTTCAAAAAAAATCGGTCGGAAAATTTTTGAGATATCGAGGTTTTAGTGACGTCATGATTTCTGAGTTTTCGACCAAAAACGGCATATGTTCAAAAAATTATATAAAATCACAGAATAGACATACAGACATGCTGTAAACGCCATTAGACTGCCAATACCATGATCAATCAAATGGCTATCTTCGATTATTGATTATCGTTCCGCATTTTCCATAATCTTGAACTGAATCTTGGCAATTTTTCGTGACTACTTCACGACCATGATACATGAATTTCTTAAATTGAACTTTTTGAGCCAAACACGTACACATATGATAAAATAAATGTCACCATCGTGTTCTACGCCCCAAATTACCTATAAAACATGTGTCACAGGCTGCGAATATCAGTTTTGATTTTCGAGGATATGTGCCTACCCGGTTGACCTGACCTTGACCCTGACCTATGCTTGACTGACCCCTACATGGAGCTGACACTCTTGTAGGCCTTATAAGATGGATTGTGCACCGTTTTGACAGAGTTTATGGCGAGAGGCGCCCATTGCGAAGTCCTGAAGTCCATGCTACTGAAAGCCCGATTTCAGGTGTTTGACCTGACCTTGACCCGACCTGTGACCTCAAAATTCAACTTTAAAGTACTCATCTGAAGCGTCTCGTCGCGCTCTTTCGCTTGCCGCCTCGTGCGTTTCGCTGCGCTTATTGGTTCTCGAGTTATCGGCTGGGGGCGTTTAACGCCCCCCCCCCCCCCCAGCAAACGGTGGGTGGCGAAATACCCCAGCAACTGCCGGGTTAATGCCACTTTCTTAAGGAGATATTTTGTCCGGTTTACTTTTCCAAATGCTACATTCAATAGGTCGTTGGAAAGCTAAAAGTGCAAAGTTCCTCATAATAGGTGACATAAAGTACATAGACTATGGTAAAATGGGCGGATGAAAAAAATGAGAAATATATCAGGCTATAGTGTGCTATCAAACAAAAGGCTGAAGAAAAAGGGGTCAAAAATTGAGCTCTAGTAAACTACTATTTCAGTTTAAAAGCTCATTTCAAAGGTGGACTATTTCCTTAAATGTTTACAGCCGTTGAACAAGAACCATTGCAAAGGTCACCGGGGTCCATTGAAACGGCATGTGGCCCTGTTTCAACTGACCCTCAGAGAAGCGTTTCAATTGACCCCATCCGCTCCCGCCATCTCGCACGCGCCGTAAAGCACACATGTCAAACGAGCTGGAGGGACGGCATCATGCTGAATGAAGGGCCAAATATGGTGTTATTCCGGAGCCAGGAGTTCTTCTTTCAGCAAACAAAGGTATATGAGATATCACAAAATATTCCTAAAAACGATTTCTCCCAAACGCCCCTCAAAAACACAAAAACAAGTGTCATATCAAAATTAACGTCCGTTTGCCGCCCAAACGCCGTTGACAAAGGAAGTGGTCGAGCGCGGATGCGCAGTGGTGTCGGCAACGCCATATGTTGCATACTGTTGAAAATAAAGCCATGTTTCATCTGACCCCGTGTTTCAACTGGCCCCGCTCTCCCCTATTTACTGTGCTCATGTAACCCCGATAAGTGAGACGCACAGGCTCACTTTCCATCTAAGGCGAACAGCTGATTTTGGTGCCGGAGTTTCATTCATGCTAAGGCGCTCAATTACAGCGCCGCATTTCAGTTAGCGTCGGGCGCAAAAGCTACTATGCTCCGCCCCTCCATCACGTGACCCTGCCCTCACGTGGCCTCAGTCACGTGGTGTTTCTACTTCTTGGCGCATGGCGGCGCTAGTCTCGCAGGGGCGGTGGTAGCTTGCTCCCCCGCCGTCCGGGGGGTGATTGGTAGCAAGTGCTGGTGACTGTATGTACATACAGTGGGGCATGCATGTATAAAATTAACCCGGCAGTTGCTGGGGTATTTCGCCACCCACCGTTTGCTTGGGGGGGGCGTTAAACGCCCCAAGCCGATAACTCGAGAACCAATAGGTGCAGCGAAACGCACGAGGCGGCAAACGAAAGACCGCGACGAGACGCTTCAGATGAATACTTTTAAATCGAATTTGGAGGTCACAGGTCGTGTCAAGGTCAGGTCAAACACATGAAATCGGGCTTTCAGTAGCATGCACTTCAGGACTTCGCAATGGGCGCCTCTCGTCATAAACTCTGTCAAAACGGTGCAAATCCACCATATAAGGCCTACAAGAGAGTCTGCTCCATGTAGGGGTCAGTCAAGCATAGGTCAGGGTTAAGGTCAGGTCAACCGGGTAGGCACATATCCCCGAAAATAAAAACTGATATTCGCAGCCTGTGACACATGTTTTATGGGTAATTTGGGGCGTAAAACACGATGGTGACGTTCATTTTATCATATGTGTACGTGTTTGGCTCAAAAAGTTCAATTTAAGAAATGCATGTATCATGGTCGCGAAGTATAGTCACGACAAATTGCCGAGATTCAGTTCAAGATTTTGGAAAATGCGGAACGATCATGAATAATCAAAGATAGCCATTTGATTGTTCATGGTATTGGCAGTCTAATGGCGTTTACGGCATGTCTGTATGTCTATTCTGTGATTTTATGATGTTTTTAACATATGCCGTTTTTGGTCGAAAACTCAGAAATCATGAAGTCACTAAAACCTTGATATCACAAAAATTTTCCGACCGATTTTTTTGAAACTTTGTCACAATAAACTACAATCAATTCCCTACAGGTACCTAAAATTTGGCGCGCCTGCGTTGCGCCGTTTTTGGTTCGGCGAAAAAAGTGGGGGCGTTTAACGCCCCCCCCCCCCCAGCAACTCGCGGGTTAGTAAATCTGGTGATCATTATCGACCAGCCATCACTATTTCAGAAAGCTGTTCTCTGGCGGCACCATGAAGACCCCGATCACGTTCCGTCGGCGGCTGCTGCTGACCTGCTGCTGCTCGCTGCTGGTGCTGTTGCTGGTGGCCCTGCAGGTCGTGCATCAGGCTCCTCAGATGGAGCTCCCAGCCGGCTGCTGGAGCGTTCCGGAGCCGCGCCTGGGCGCCGCTGTACTGCCGCAGTACGGCCGGTACCGATACCTGCTGAACAGTCCCGTGTGTGGTGGCGGGGAGGAGGTGCGGGCCGTGATCGTGGTCCACTCGGACCCGCGCCGCCCGGAGGTCCGCCAGGCCATCAGGGACTCGCTGCCGGCAGCCGAGCTGGCCCAACTCGGTCTGCGGCGCGCCTTCATGCTGGCTGAGGCGTCCACCAGGCTGAATGTGAATGACACCACCATATCGCAAGTGAGAGCTGGTTTTTGCCGTCTTGCAAAGCCTTGCTTTCTTACCAATAAGCAGTAGGGCAGGAACTATTTTCTGACTAAGGGGGGGGGGGGGCACACTTGTTATTCCCCGGTATCGTTTCGTACCATTGATCAACCTAGGGACTACCAGCAAATTTAGTTTTTCAACCTGTTTTCGGCCATTCATTTTCACACTTTCTACCCTCGCCCGCAAATGGGGGGGGGGGGGAGTTGCCACCCCTTATGTAGTTTTTCTGCTCTACACTCAACAATTTTAGAGATAAAAGCCTGATTTTTCGTATAGCTGCTCCTCTATCCTTTCTTGATGTCTACTAAAAATTTCAAGTTTCTGTGGTTTTTGGTTTCGGAGATATAACATTGTTCTTCAGGTCATGTCATGATCCAAATGTCAAATAGGTATCCAACATCTTGCGTTGGCTATGGGTCTTGTGAGCTTTTGACACCTTAATTTCGGCCTTTTTGCCAGTCTTACCTCCCACCTATCATGGAACATGTTGTTGGACGATGTACAGATGTCAAGGTCAGGGTCAAAGTCAACCTAGGTCATCTAAAAGCATTGCGTTTTAGGCAAGCTGAATTTACTTTTTGCGAAGTTTATTCGACTGTATTTTTGGTAAAAGTTTCTCATTTCCTGATTTTATGTAATATGGACACAAAAACAATCGGTGCACACATCAGTATACACACAGACACACACAGACACACAAACAACTATTATTGACCTTGACCTAATTTGACCTGTAATGACATCAGCAGCAAAAACCTGGTCGGATAGTGTGACAAAGAGGTTCTAGCTTGCTTGGCACCACAAAATGGCATCGTCATCGGTATATGGTGAGCAGCGAACTTGATATCCAACGGTGACCCAAAACAACATTTTTTAGTTTGGCCTGACCTGGAAGGTCAATGACTGACCTGAGAAGGTAAAACTGGGTATCATTGGATTTGTCTCTTCCCAAATAATATTTTTGGTCCTTACCGCGAAGCTCTATCTCCAACAGGAACGAAATAGCGCGGGGTTGGCAACCCCCCCCCCCCCGCCATGTGCGTTCTAGGATGGGAAAATGGCATGTGCAGGCGAGGGTTAACCCGCGCCCCGCTGGGGGAGGCAGATTCTGCCCCCTGCCTAACTTCAGAAACGATCGTCGTAGAAAGACGGGGAAAAGCAATCAAAAGCTCTCGACAAGGTGGATCTTCCCTCGCCGGCACAGCACCCGCCCCCCCCCCCCCCAAAGGTTTTTCGCAAATAACTCGCGTAAAAAGCGGCCGATCGCAACGAAACTTTCAGTACCCTCGCGTTAACCCGCGAGTTGCTGGGAGGGGGGCGTTTAACGCCCCCACTTTTTTCGCCGCGCTATAGCATAAAAACGGCGCGCCGCAGGCCCGCCAAATTTTGGCTACCTGTAGGGAATTGATTAAAGTTTATTGTGACAAAGCTTTTAAAACATCGGTCGGAAAATTTTTGAGATATCGAGGGTTTAGTGACGTCATGATTTCTGAGTTTTCGACCGAAAACGGCATATGTTCAAAAATCGTAAAAAATCACAAAATTGACATACAGACATGCGGTAAACGCCATTAGTCTGCCAATATCATGAACAATCAAATGGCTATCTTCGATTTTTGATTATCGCTCCGCATTTTCCAAAATCTTGAACTGAATCTTTGCAATTTCGCGCGACTTCTTTACGACCATGATACATGTATTTCGCGCCCTGCTGGGGGGTGTTTGAACACCCCCCCTTGTGGTTTATCGCAAATATCTCAAAAACGGCGGCGCGGAGCGCCACCGTTTTTGGCACACATGTTCGTGCATCTTTTCCGCACATGTTCTGAAACTTTCAGACCCAGGTCACCTTAGGTCAGGTCACCAGGTCGCGCCAAGTGACCTCACCTCAGAAAAAATAAGAATGCTCGTCATAGCTACACCGATTGATGGATTGCCTTGAAACTTTCAGCGTTTGTTTAGAGCAACATTATCTATAAAATAGTTATCTCGGAATTTTGATATTGGTGACCTAAGGTCAGGTCAATTTTGCGACCTCTCCATTATAAGTCAATGGGAGAAAATTAAAAGGCGTCTGTTTTGCACGAACGCCATTCTAGACACTCTCAAACATCGAGATGTAGATAAAATGGACACACTGAAACGGAAAATGGCAACTGTGACCCCTCGTTATGTCCCCGAGGTCATCTCAGGTCACGAACAGAATCTAACAGTTTTTCGCTAATAACTTCTGATAGAGACGTGCTAGAGCGCTGAAAACGCCTTAGATGTGTTCGGCTCGACGTTGCGGATCGACTGATATGCAGCATGACCTTTTCCGGTCAGGTTATGACCTTGATCTGAGGTCAAATTTTAAAGTTGACCTTTTAAGGTCAACTTATAGTTCATTCGACGCGTCTCGACGATAGGAACACGATGCTGGCAAAAGTAATGTCGTGGCTCTTTTGAGTCAAAAGTTATTGCCGAAAAAAACGTTTTTCGTAAAAACGGCTATTTTTGGAGTTTTTGCCCTCTGGAGGCTAAACCGTTGATCTGAGGTCAAATCTTAGAACATTACTCAGAAAGGTCTGTAAAAGTGCTATCGAATGCGCTTTTCCGCGGCGCTGTAGCTCTATCGGTTCCCGAGATAGCCGTTGGCAGTTTCCAAAATGTTGAAATAGTGGACACTTGACCTTTGGTGACCTCTGGTAACCTGACCTTTGACCTAAACCAAAAAATGACCGAAGTGTTTTCGTCCTTATTTTGGACGTTCTTTCTATTGCCGCTTACCGCGTGTCGCTACGTGGCCCAGGAGCCGAGTTAGAAGGGGGGTGTTCAGACACACCCCCCCCCCCCGACCCGGCGCGGAATCTCAGAGCACCGGCCCGGCGCGGGTTAAGATTTTAACCCTCGCCGGCACAGGGGGGTTGATGCAACCCCCCCCCCCCCCCTAAGGTTTTTCGCGAATAACTCGCGTAAAAAGCGGCCAATCGCAACGAAACTTTCAATACCCTCGCATTGATCAATTTTACACCTACCCTGAAAATTTCATGACCCTGACCCCAATGACCTTTGATCTGTGACCTCTTTTCTGTGACCATGGTTGGCCGAAATCGCGGTTCGGCGCATGTCGGCTCGCATTAGCCGCGCGTTTGCAAGCTTTCGTGGTTTTAAACGCTCAAACATGTGATTTGATGTTGCTCCCATGCATTAGGGTGGGTGTCAAGGTCACCTGAAGGTCAGGTCAGGTCATTGACCTTTGGTGACCTCGGGTGACCTCGGTTCTTTTTTTCGAGTTTTACATGTTTCTAGGCTAGTTTTTGGAGCTGAATTCGAATTTAGCAACCGTTTGAACATTTACGAAGTAGTTTTGGTGCCTTCGTAACATGTTACGAAGCTGTCCGAGGCGGTTGACACGTATTACGAATACCCGTCACAACCCCTACCGGTTGACCTGATCTGACCTGACCCGACCTGGTCTAAATGCTTAAAGACATCATCTCTGATCAAAACTAACACGATATTCGTGATCAGCACCCCGGAAAACCACGTAGCAGCCACACTTTACGACTTTCTAACAGGTCCCGATTTTCCCGGTTTTCGGGTCATTGACCTGACCTGGAAGGTCACCCGATGACCTAGGACCTTAAAATTGGGTATCATCGGCTTCCTCTCGTGACGGGCAACACGCTCGTTTTTTCCGCGAAGCTTTAGCTCGATCAGGGGCCAAACGCGAGGGGGGGTCGTACCAACCCTCCCCTTGTGCCGTCGAAGGACTCAAAATGGCCTGTGCCGGCGAGGGTTAACCCGCGCCCTGCTGGGGGGGTGTTTGAACACCCCCCCTTGTGGTTTTTCGCGAATATCTCAAAAACGGCGGCGCGGAGCGCCGCCGTTTTTGGTACACCTTATCATACATCAATTCTACACATGTTGTGAAAATTTCAGACTAAGGTCATGCAAGGTCAGGTCACCAGGTCACTTGAAGTGACCTCACCTCATAAAAAGTTTCAATGTCTGTCATAGCTACACCGAGTGACCGATCGCTTTGAAACTTTCAGCGATTGCTTAGAGCAATAGCATGTACAAAATGTATATCTCAGAATTTTGATTTCGATGACCTAAGGTCAGGTCAATTTTGCGACCTCCCCATTATAAGTCAATGGGAGAAAATTGAAACGCGCCTCTTTTGGACGAAAGACATTATAAACACTCCCAAACACCGAATTACAAGTGGTTTAGACACACTGAACATGAAAATGGTGTCCGTGACCCTTGTTTATGCCCTGAGGTCATCTTAGGTCACGAATGGTATCTAACAATTTTTCGCAAGTAACTTTTGATAGAGGCATGCTAGAGCGATGAAAACGCCTTAGATGTGTTCAGCTCGACGAGACGGATCGACTGATATGCAACATGACCCTTTCCGGTCAGGTCATGACCTTGACCTGAGGTCAAATTTTCAAGTTGACCTTTCAAGGTCAAGTTATAGTTCATTCGATGCGTCTTGACGAGAGGAACACGATGCCGGTAAAAGCAAGCTCGTACAGGGCTTGGGTCAAAAGTTATTGCAGAAAAACTGTTTCCGAAAAAATCGGCTATTTTTGCATTTTTTGCCCCCTGCAGGCAAAACCGTTGACGTTAGGTCAAATCTGAGAGAATTACTCAGAAAGGGCGTTAATAGGGCTATCGAATGCGCTTTTCCGCGGCGCTGTAGCTCTATTGGTTCCCGAGTTATGCGTTGGCTTCTTGGAAATTTTCGACATTTGACCTGGAAATCGGCGAAATTTTGCCTTCAATGACCTCTGGTGACCTGACCTTTGACCTGACCAAAAAATTGACCGAAGTGATTTCGTCATTATTTTTTACGCTCTTTCGAACGCCGCCTTCCGCGTATCGCTACGTGGCCCAGGAGCCGAGTTACAAGGGGGGGTGTTCAAACACCCCCCCCCCCCAGCAGGGCGTGGAAATCCAGGACCCCCAGCCGGGCGCGGGTT